AGGATTCCAGTAGCCCAGGTCACGCCTCGCGTTGGACAGCGCTCGCGCTTTGCTTGCGTAGCATCGCTGTGCCTATAGCCACCATAGTTGTACCCTGTGTGCCCAATCATGCAAAGAGGGAGACATGTATCGCGTTCCATTCTAACCGACCACGTCTCCATTCGCACAGGCATTCGCCGAAAACGCTTTGGAATTAACGAAGCGCCTCCTAATTTTCTTTACTCATTTTTCTGTATTTCAAAGCAACTCTGTTGGAAACTGCTGCGTGCGTGCTTCGCAGCATGGCTGCGAGGAACTGAACGGCGTAGCTGAAGGCGCTCCCAATGACGCGCACGCCTAGATGCGGTGTCGATAGCGATGTATCTTACAGAGCAGCTAATAGGCACCCGACAGTGGACCAGAGGGCACAATGAAGCTTTTTGGGCCACCTCGGTATTGCTGGTACCGACCACCAGGAAGACGAAGAAAATGAAACTCTCGCTGAACATATTGAAACGTTGAAGTGTCAATGCACTTTTCGGCGCGTTTTCAAAGAAGGCTTCCTGAGCGCTTATATAGTCAGCCGTGACTCCCCTGCTCACAACAAAAAAAGAAAGTATTATGCGCAGGCAAGTCCGGTTTTGCTGCGTCTACTCGCTAGGCTACGCTTTGGAAGACTCGGTATTGCGGCGCCTACTCGCTAGGCTGTGTGTTCTGGCACTACCATCAGATCTGATAAACTGCATTGCCGGGTGCCTATAGAGAGGTTTAGCATTCCTCGAGGCAAACAGTATTAACTTAGCCAAATATAGTTTTTGCTGCAAAAATGGCCAACCGCATACATTGACATGATATGTGGGGGACGGGGGAGGTGTGAGATGGGGGCAGAAATTTAGCCTCATATTAGTATGTGTGGTTTAACGTCCCAAAATCACAATGTGATTACTAGAGACGTCATATTAGAGGGCTCCAGAAATTTGCACCACCTGCGGTTTTTTAACGTGCCCTCAAAAAAGGGTACACGAGCCTACAGCATTTTCACCTCCATCGAAAATGCAGCCGCCATAGCCGGGATTCAATCCCGCCACCGGTGGGTCAACAGCCGAGTACCCTGGCCATTAGAATATCGCGGAGGGGCAAAAAAAAGTCAGCCTCATACATTGACATGGTAAAAAAAGGGAAGCACTGTGACTAACCTTCTCCCTCCCCTGAAGGAGTGTCCACAATCATGTCCTGGCTGTGTCTTAAGAGGCCTACGGCATAGTACTTCTATTGGAAATGTGCCAATGTGTCGTGCACGTAAGTACGACGTGTCGAAAGAGCTATTCGTGGATGTGATAGTTATGAAGCATTACTCTACCAAAGTAACTCTGGGAGGACTGTTTTCGATATAAATGGCGCGTTTGCAAACATGTCAGTGTGTATGACCATGGCGCAGTGAATTGCGTGCCTGGCATGTGTTGTCGCAGAAAGACAAGAGGTCATGGCATGGACTCTTGTTGACGAAACTTCTTTCTTTGCCATCAGATCGTGTGCATTTCATGAGGGTATTTCCATGGCAAAAAATACGTCACTGAAATCTTGATGAACCGTAGAATCAAAAAGAGAGAGAGAAAAAATAAATTAGAGAAAGGCAGGGAGGTTAACAAGAAATTTGAGCATCCGGTTTGCTACCCTGAACTAAGGAAAGAGAGAATGGGGAATAAAGACGGGAAAGAAAGTGAAGAGCGAAATAGACGCATGAAAAAGAAGAGAAAGAAAGTGAGCTTGGGTGCTATAGCCTATTCAAGAGGCCACTACCACGCAAAAAGTTTATTAAGGCCTTCACTGATGTTCTGTGCGAAGTCAGATTATGTCGCCCTTTAAGCACTGACTGTTCTGACAAGGGTCTGTCGTCAGGGCTAGCTAACGTAGCAGCTTGCTGCTGCCTTTTCACGCTGTAACGAGCAGCACTGTCTTCCACGATGATCCGTAAGGCGAAAACTTAGCTGACTGTGGAAAGCCAGTCAGCTTAGCACCATTGTCTCAAGTCGACAGAGTCCGGACGAAGGCCGAAGTCGACAAAACGTTTCCATTTCCAGCCTATGCAGTCACGTGGGCCGCAAGCACTCAGCGTTCCACAGGGATTTTTCTTCTTCATTAGCCATTTTCGAATTTTCATTGAAGCATCAGTCCTTGAAATGAAGTAGATTCTTCTTCCACATCATTGTGTGCTATTCGACCAGCTGCATCGGCATGTTCGTTGCCCAATATGCCGAAGGGATGGGACAGCCACTGAAACGTGATTTCGTGTCCTTCGTCGAAGACACATTTATGTTGAAATATGAGGTACTTCCAAAATCTGGTTAGCCGCCCTCCCTTCCCCTCCCCGGCTTCTTGATTCCAGTTGATATTCTCTTAAGTCCACGAATCTAGCTCATTTTAACCAAAGGAAAGCGAACTTTTACACACACTCTTTACGAAGGGGCCAATGGCAATATTGCCACAAATTTATCATCGAATAGGTTTATTATTTAGCGCTACCTACATCATTATTGAGATCATAACAAAAGATAAAACCATACTGCAAAATATTGCTTATATGGGGGAGTGTTTTCATTTGTGCAGAAATTTGAGTTATTTCTTAAAACTTTCTTCCTCTTAGCTGTCACAGACCATATGTATGTTCTATCCTGACGAAAGCGTCTGACGCCGGAACGCAGCATTTGGAGATGACGAAAAAGAATGAAAGTTAAACAGAAGAGCTGCAGTTTTGTTTTTATTTCAAATTTTAAAATATATTTTACATAAGCTTTCTCTGCCCAAACAGTACAGCCAAAAAAATAGAATGAAAAGAGCGCTTCAGTTCAGCCTGTGCTCACAAAGTTCTTATTACTCATCTTGTGAGAAAACAGAAGTGCTGTAACAGGAAACACTGGAGTCACCCGAGTAGAACAGCGGTATATGATTCCTCTGATATTTTTTCTTTTGAGATAGCAATAGTATCGTGCATTGCCGGTCAAGATATTCCATACTTTTTTGCTTGTGAGTGTACATAGTCAGTTGGGCAGACATTTTCTAAGCTTCCACAATACTTACATGCCGAGGCTCTCAATTCAATAATACGCCTACAGAATCTTGACTTGCCTTCTGCGATCCTCTCCACCGATCAATGGCTTTGCGCCGCTTGACAAATTTCGAAAAGCCCTATCGGGCTGCTGCCTTCAAAATGTAAGAAGTGTAAGCAATCTGCCTGACCTCTTTTCTTGCTAAATTTCATTACGTTCTATTTTTAAGGAGCATATAACGTTTCGAGGATTCTTCGCCAGCCAGTCAAACTGCGTCGAATTGAATGTTGGGCAGGTTGCAATTTTATACAGTGCGTCACCGAAATAAAAGTTGAGCGCGCGTTCACGAAAACATAAGTTCTGCGACCTTCGATACCTAGATGGTTCAATACAAGCGTCTATCCCACTGCGTAGGAAAGTTGACAATGTTGCGAAACACTGGCGTCCTCAGAAGTCTTACTTCTTGGCACAAGTTATGTATAGCACTTTCTCGGGTTCTTTTCTTTTTCTGTAAACAATATCACGGTGTACTGCAGGAAATGAAGAACACTGAAATTTTAAAGTGGCAGCCGAGGTCTAACAGTGATTCACTGTTAGCTTGTTTTCATTCAATGCTGAGGTTCAGGCGCTAAGAAAGCTTCGTAAAGCTTCGTGAATGTGGGAACACTTCTTAACTTTAGCAACGCTTTTTTTCATCCTAAAGTTGCAGATTTTAAGACAACTTCTAGCATAAACAAAACGCAGCGAAAGATGGGTGAATTCGAGCCTATCTATCTATCTATCTATCTATCTATCTATCTATCTATCTATCTATCTATCTATCTATCTATCTATCTATCTATCTATCTATCTATCTATCTAACCACCTACAACTTTTAGCTCTTCTGGCCGTTCCAATATTGGTATTCATACCAAACTTGTTATGGCACAACATCACAGTACATCACAGTATAGAGAACACAACTGACTGGTCATAACATGAAAACCATGATGTGGATGTCATGAATGTCATAATTTACATTTCATGATCCTGCTGCTCTTGCGGTGGTTTCGTTCACATGACATATTTCAAAAGTGGTATGGTATGGCATGATAGCATGGCGAACACAAGCAACAGTCGTTAACATGAAAATCATGACATGCGTGTCATGTAACAACATGAATACATGCCACGCTCATGATGCGCTCGCGGCTATTTCGCTAGCTTCACTTATGCCACATTTGGTATTACGGTACGTGAATGGATGACAAAGGCATGAGACTGGTGCAAACATGATAATAATCAGATGCGTGTCATGTAACAACATGACTATATGCAACGCTCATGATGCGCTGGCGGCCGTTTCGCTAGCTTCACTTATGCGAAATTTGGTATTACGGGACGTGAGTGGATTACGAAGGTATGCGACTGATGAAAACAAGACAATCATGGGCTGCGTGTCATGTGAGAACATGTCTACATGCCAGAGTCAAGGCACCAATACATTTCAACGCGACGCGCTGCGCGTGCTCGCCGGCGTTCATTTTGTCGCCTCGCACCGGCGTTGCCACGACAGGCACCGGTCCTGCCATGTACTTGCAGGCGCGCGCTGCGCTGCGTTGCTTTGACGCATGCGCGTTTCACTGCGTTGGGCGTCCTTCCATCACTAAAAGAGATAGACGCAGCGTTTTCTGGGTAATGCATTGGCGCGAATTTCGCACCGGTTGCCGTGAGGCGGCGTCGACGGACGCTGGTCGCGTCGGTTGCGCCTGGCGTCAGACTATAGGGTGCTGGCGTTTTGCTAACGTACACTGTAAACCAAATTACACCCATATAGGTGTTTTATAGTGTCTATAACTCACACCCCAACACCCCACGAAATGGGTGTATCAAGCAGGGCTACACCCATATCGTGGGGCGGATTTCCGAATTTACACCCTATGGCACAAACATTTTTTTGGGTGGAAAGACAGATGTACACCCAAGTGGCCTTAAGCGTGTATCCACACGACGGACCAAATCCGTCTTTTCCGCGGCGGACGGCGCGTCACGTGACCCCACGTCACGGATTTCCGCCATCCGTGCCGCGTCCGCGGACGTCGCGGACGGAAAATGCCACGCTCTTTTTCGCAAACGGATTCCCGCGGAAAAACACGACAAATTTAGCGGAGGACGCCAATACTAGTGTGGCAACAAGCGCTTATTTTTCTGTTTCTCGTGTGGTTTCGTAAATTTAGCCGACGAAGTTATAAGGGTCTGGCAACAGGCACGTTTTTTTTTTTCTGCTCGTCTTGTTTGGGTTTTTGCGTGGGAAGTACGTTCGACGCACACTACCGCAAACAACTCCAACTATGAACTTGAGCGACGACGCAACTTTTTTTCTGCTGCGCCTTGTTGAGCAGTTCCCCGCATTGTGGGATATGACACTCGCCGAGTACGCGGACACAACAGTGAAGGAGAGTATATGGGAACGCATAGCGAAGGAAATGAACGAGGAGTGGCCTGCGTACGGGCCGTACGATGCCAGTAAGTACCATTTATATTTACTCTCTATGTTTTGCGTTATTATATGGGTGGGTTTCGTGATAATAACCTTCTGGAATGTACCTGTTATGCATGACGTGGGGCACATTGGTGTCTACAAGTGACGGCCGTGGTCAGCGCATTCCCAAGCATGCTACCGTGCCGGAGGCAGGGCTGCTCAATAAAAATGCATTTTAATCAAGGAATCGGCGCGAAATTCAAGAACAGTGTTAATGGCGACGAGTCCGCCAAACGTTGCTTGTGATGCGTAAGCTTGCGGTAAAACTGAAAACATTCACTGCAGTATTCGTTAGAGCACCAGCCACGTTTTTTCAGCATAATGTGTTGTGATGGTGATTGACCGAAACTGCATGGTGTAAATCGTACTTATAATCACCCCCCCCCCCTCTGTTTTGTTCTTTTTTTTTTACAGAAGCCCTTCGGCGCTTCTTTGACAATAAGAGACGCACATACCGGTTGGAGAAGAAGAAAGTAGAATCCACAAAGAGTGGAATGCCAAGCTCGGACGTTTATAAAGGTCGCTGGCGCTTTTATAATTCACTCAGGTTTTTGGATGCTTCAAAAGTGACCTGTTGGCGTTCTGTGAGCACTGATGCATGCCAAGCTGCGGCGGAGACCATGAAGGTAAACTGCCCTTGTTTTTCGTATTTGTGATGAAGCCTTCTTGTGCCGCGTAAATTTTTACAATATGTATTTTTTATTACTTAGCACTTTCTTATACAGCCTTACAACCTTTTCAATGCTTGAACACACACCAAAATAATTCTACATTAAGATTAGTTGCTTGGTGTGCTGAATTATTCAAACGTCGTTTCTATATTTAAATTAGATATGACCAAAAATTGTTGACACTGAAGTTTGAATCTTGCGCTCTAATTACGCCAAATCACGAATAATGTACCATTGCTTTTACGTGGTTGTAATACAGATTGTAATCGGAATAGATACGCAGATGTGTGTCTGCAAAGCATTACATTTTGGAATTGCGAGAGACTTTGTGCGCCATTTTGTGTCTTGCAGGTACGACCAGACATTGATGATCCTTCACAAACCTCAGACGATGCAGCTGCAGCGACTGACGACCAAAACATTACCGTGGACGACCCAATTGCGGGCAAGGCACTCTCTGCAATGTCCCGCCAAGGAACACAGAAGAAAAGGCGCCGATCTCCCCATCGTTTAGATGAAATATTGGCCCAACGGCAAACTGTGTTGGAAAAAATAGCTGCAAGCGTAGGCCAACCAGCGAGTACCACACAGCAGGAAGATGATATCGACTATTTTGGTAAAGTTGTTGCTGCACACATGCGCGAGGTTCCGAAGGATAAGCTGATCCCATGCCAGAAGGCTATCTTAAGCGCACTTGAAATCTACATCAACAAAAGCGAGTAAGAAAGCTCAACAGATCTCATTTAATATTGCCAGTTAATAAATCGTTGCTTACCTCCAGCATTGTTGTCAGTGTGAATGAAACTCAGTTTTAAGTAAATATCCGTAATTTGAAATGCCATTCATATGACAGCGTATACAAGATCTCGCCCTTCAACTAAACAAACCGCATTTTATTTTTCAACAACTTTATTTTATGACAACGCATGTGCATCTTGCACTATCTTTGCGTAATCTTATGGCCTTCTGTATACATCGGCCTCCAAGTGGGCTGACGTACGCTGCCATGACACAGCACCCCTGCCATTCAAAAATTCGCATAGGCTGTCACGTACGGCGGAGCCAACAGCACTTACTCGTCCGCGAGAATAAGGCTGTGTAGAGAACAGAGTTGCAGTAGGCGTTGTGTCGGCACACGAGTCAGCTGCGTTCAATTCATTGGCGAGGAAGTTGTGCAATACGCATGCTGCATTCACCATTGATGTCACCCGTTTTGGCTCAGCGTCAATCACGGTGTGCAGAAATCTAAACCTATTCGCAAGTATTCCAAAGGTGCTCTCAACTACACGCCGAGCCCTGGATAACCTGTAAAGCATTAAAAAAGTAAGATATAATTTTATACACTTTACACCACTGAGAAGATAGTAGCATGCTAATGTGTGCTGCAAATCTGGGTTAGCGCACCTTCGATTAAACGGTTAAATATCACATAGTGCTGTTTCAGTAGTGACATAAATTACCTGTAATTAAATATTCTCTTCTCTTCTGATAACGAACGTTCCCCAAACGGTTTCATCAAGTTTCTTCCAAGAGGAAACGCGTCATCACCGACGAAAACTGGTGGCAAGTACAGATCAGGCAAGCTTCCCACCTTGACCAGTTCCGGAAGACCAGCCGACATGTTTGACAAGTGTGCTTGCAGAGGCGTAGTTTGCCAGACGCCCGCATCTCCCTGTGACCCTGGCGCACCAACATCCGTGTACAAAAATTTGTAGTTCGCATCGACCACGGCAAACAGTATAATGCTAAAGCTCTTCTTGTAGTTTCTGTAAACTGTTCCCGTGTTTGCTGGCTTAGTAATTATCACATGCTTTCCATCCATCGCTCCAACGCAGTTTGGAAAGTTCCAGTTTCTACTGAAACCAGCAACGACGTCTCTCCACTCATCCTCGGTGCTTGGAGTTTTGAGAAATTCATTCTTCAGCTCTTGATAAATTACATTACATGTTTCATGGATGATATCATTTACAGTCGAGTGGCCCAGACGAAATTGGCGACTCAAGGAGTGGTGGCTCTCTCCTGCACAAAGGGAAAAAAATACCGTCACTAATTCGCAGATGTATGCCAAGAGTGCCAAACTGTACATCAACGACAGCGAGGCTGTGTAAGAGGGCTTTCGTAGCCTTCGCAAGATTTGTTTTATTAGTGTCACATATGTGCCTATTCAAGACCTTGCTGGCGTTTTACAACACACAACGTAATGCCACCTCTAAAAGCGAGGCTCTCCAAGTCTGAACAGTCTCGGATGCAACAATAGGAGCAATGTTTCGAGTAGAAATGCACAGACGTGCAACACTTGCCTGAAGCAAGGTATCGTAGCGTGACCTGCAGCCTTGTTTCAGCTGATATGGCTCGCCGCATTACGGTGTCCTGTCGTTGTATGCGAGGTCCTACGAGCGACAGCAACTGGACAAACTGCTCTCTCGACACTCGCAGAAGCCTCCTGTATTCTTGGCTGTCGCTAAGCAAAAGTTCACGATAGAGTTGATATTGCATACCCAGATGCTTGTTAGCGATGTAGTCCTTTTGCCAACAAGATCGTTTTACAGGGAAGAACAGCGCTTCATCGTCTAATTCTGCTAATACAACAGCCATTGCAGCTATTCGTTGCTTTCTTTCGACCTCCATATTCACTTCAACTTCAAACTCAGCGTCATAGACGGAAACCTAAACCTCGAATGGCTAGCGATGAATGGGTTTTCTACTTTCAGACTGGTCCCGCCATCTATAGAAAAGAAGAATAAGCAAACATTCGCACATTATCATGAGCTCCGAGATATGGTAGCCCCAGCGCTACCGCAGATCACCGAGCTCATGTATTGGCAATAGCGGTGGTCGCTAAGCCTACACTTTTCAGAAAACGAGTACGGCGCTCGGAAACAGTACCAAATAGTCATGTATACGTTGCCGTCGAAGCTCGAGGACACAGACCTAAAGCCTACACAACCATCAGTTTGGGAATAACAGCCCACGCGATGCGCTACGAAGAGCTTAAAGATTTGAAGCGGGCAGCTCTCGCTTCAGACAGTGCCGCCATGTTTTTTTTCTCCAGCGCGTCCGTCTGCTCGCTTCGTCCGTCGTCTGAATGTGCTTCGCAGCCGGACGGGCGGCGGAACGAACGTCCGCGGGAGGGATTTGCGCGGATATGTCCGTCGTGTGGATACACGCTAAGGGAGTGAGGGTGTAAAAGCGAATGTACACCCAAGTTCTTGTAAGGGCGTAAGGGTGTAATATTGCTATGACACCCTAACACCCTTAAAAAACAAAAGTAGTGTAGGGGTGTAATTGCTCAAACAGCAAAAAGGGTGTGAGGGTGTTCATGCTGAATAATGCCCCAACACCCATGCAAAAATACCATAATCCGAAAGTTACCCCTTTCCAGTAAGCCCCTGTGGAAGCACGTGAAAGCTTACCCTTTAGCTAGACCTTTCATGTGCAGATGTCCTATTGTAGTGGCTCCTGCCACAGTGTGGTAATCCTGGCCTTAGCACAGCTTTTATGGTGCATATATGATGCACGGCATATAACACGTAATCCTAGCTTAATGCAAAGGCATCACTCAAAATGAGCTGCCACACATAACACAACGTTCACAAAGTCATGCCATTGTGCAAAACGAAATCAAGCTTTATTTTATTAGGCACAGAGAACATACAGGATTTAGAGACAAATTGTACCTTAATCAAAAGCCTTTTTCAATTGTGCAAAGCAGAATGCCATTTGCTACAAAAGAAGACCGGAAATCAGACGTCAATAGTACGGCATGGAGCTCTAACGACCAATGCATGCATATCAAATACAACAAAAGAGCCTTTATTTGCACTTAAAAATGAAGAACTAATTTTAACATGCTTCAATGCAGCACAAAAGCACAGTGCAGTGAAGCACACAAACAGCAGGAAGAGTAGTGCAATGCAGCATGCCTTGTTTCTCCAATATACTGGAATAATATATCAATGCACACTACAATTATCACAATGATACGCCACAGTTTGCCCCAGTGTTGCGGCATGCCTTATGCATATTATGCAAGGCTAGTGGTATTCTAATGAATGTAATGAGAAAACAGTCTTACAATGGCATTTTCATTTCACAATAACCGTTGTGTGTTCAGACATTCAGAATACTGGGGAAACAATAATACAGGTGTGAAAACAATAGGCAAAATTACAATAGCTTAACAGTGTCACTAGATACTAACCACGCAGAATAATTGATTTAAAGATGTAAAATATCAAGCGCATCACATAATATGTCCCCCTGAAACAATGCAACATCAAAGAACATAAAATGGGCACACAAAAGCAGGGTGAAAGAGTAACCACTTACAGCTAACAGAGGTGGAGCAGCCAAGCTATCATCTGGAGCAATATTTTGGAGCATCATATCTTGCTTTTCTAGGGAGAAAATCTAAATTTGGAGCAGGTTTCAAGAAAAACAAACACAGCATTTTTGAGCTTGAAATTTCAAATTTACAGCATTGATTGATATGTGCAGTTTAACGTCCCCAAACCACCATATGGCTATGAGGAACGTCGTAGTGGAGGGCTCCGGAAATTTTAAACACCTGGGGTTTTTTAACGTGCACCCAAATCTGAGCACACGGGCCTAATGCGTTTCTGCCTCCATCGGAAGTGCAGACACCGCAGCCATGATTCGATCCCACGACCTGGGGGTCAGCAGCCGAGTACCTTAGCCCCTAGACCACCGCGGTGGGGCTCCAAATTTACAGTAGTACAACAAATTATACTGAATCACACACACAAAAAAGTATGTAGAAATTATTTGAGATACGCTAATTCATTCAAAATACACAAGAGTGCAGCTATTTCAACAAAAGCACTCTTGAACTGTCCCACAGTGAAAACAATGCTATCCTCCCTATATACGAATGCTCCTCGACTCGAATCTCATCCTTCACTTGTACTAGCTGAGCACAGCGCCACCGCTTATCTAAAATGACGCTGCGTTTCTTGAGAATCGCAGCAGATTATCCCTGATATTGAGTGACTTGCTCTGCCTAGAGACTGCGCTGGAATCAATTTTCTCAAGTCAAGGTGAAGCATTTAGTGAAGGGACGTTCTAAAATACGGGTGTAAAACTCGCAGTAGCATTTGGTGAGCTTGTCCAACTGTTTGACAGGTGACCCAGAAATTCCAGATATTCGTAAAGGAAAAGCTCAAGGGGGTGGCGAAGAGAAAAAAAGTGGCATACGATTTTCTTTATCGTCGCTTAAGACTGCAAAAACCTCATAAATCACTCTGAAAGACGGCCAGCACTTATACTAGTAATCGTTATTGCATGGCATCTGCATGGCAGAGTAATATAGGGACAAAAATATTTTGTGTCCAGTAAATCAAAAAGCACTTTTCCGCAGAGCGAAAGCGTATTCTGGCAAAAGGGACCTAAAAAGCGTTATGGACGTCATAGAAAGGGGGGGGGTAGAAATTTCTTTTAAACCGTTCTACTCTTTTCTTTTGCTGTGAGGTTAGAATAGAGTCAATTAAAAGTTATAATTACGGTTGGCACATCTGTATTAGATTAGATGATGATGACCCCGCCTCGATGGTTCAGTCGCCAAAGTACTCAGCTGCATTTTTCATGCAGGCGGAAATGCTGTAGGCCCATTTCCTTAGATTTAGGTGCACAAGAACCCCAGGCGGCCGAAATTTCTGCAGCCCTCCCCTAAAGCATCTCATAATCAAATGGTGGCGTTAGGACATTAAACTGCACACATCAATCAATTGGATGGTGATGTGCAAACTTAAGTTGAATAATGGATCTTATGTTTCTTGATAAAATTAACAATACTGAGAAATAATTGAGGCTGATTGGGCATTTCATAATGGTTTTGTGCAAAATTAGGAAATTGTATCCAATTGACACAATTGGCATGGCTGCTGTTCTCTCGAACATGCAAATATGAATACGAAAATATCATGTAATATTTTGCTACAGACATTAAACATGTGCTGTGAATAGACATGAATGCCTGAATTGAATAGTCAATTTCACGTCAAAACCACGACCGCACAAAAAAAACACATGAACAGGATGGGTGCTCACTAGCAGCTGTTTGTACCTTATATTCATAATATACTATATATTCATACGTACAACCTTAAAAAGGTGGCGAGCCGGCATGAAGTACTGATTGTGTTCGTGCCCCTAACAAACTAGCAAAATTGCGCCGGTGCATCGCTGAAAATTATGCTGAGCAGCTGAAAGGCTGTAAAAAGAAGCATGCGTGGCCATTCACGAAGTCTGCCACTGATGGTCTACAAAATACCCCTATCGTGCAGAAAGACACATGTTAGCCAGACGACGAGGCGCTGCGTCAATGATCGAGCGAGGGAACACGCCCTTACGGCAAAGAATAACGACGGTGCCCGTTCAAGAGCACATGTCACTTCATGTGGATTCACACCAAGAGCCATTTTGATGGGCTTTCACAAATAAAAAGGGGTATCAATTACGTTAGCAAAACTTCACTCATCATGTATGAGCTGGAAGCACGGTCATGTGCTGGAAGCACGGTCAGCTGGAAGCGATCATGTGTCCTATAGCGTGATTAGGTAAGGGACGGCCCGAGTAGGTTGCACAAGCGTTGACAAAAAGTGGGTTTATATCAGCCTATTTTCTCAAGAAATCAACAATTGCAAATGAGTGCCCAATCCGTTTATGAGTTTTCTTCGTTTGTGCGGTCGTCATTTTGGCGCAAAATTGACTAATATTTAATGCAAACATGCACCAACTATCCCAACTGCAAGTTCTACTACATATTGATGCTACTGCTGCACATGTAAACAACAATAGCACGTGCAGTTAGTTCCCTTAGAACTGTGAAAAAAGCGGCACTATACAGTGCCTCAGAGGAGGCACTTTCAGTATATTTTTTGGTAAATAAAGGGCTTAATAAGC